TCCTGCCGGAGCAGAGAGGCATCAGGTTAAAACAAGGGCACCAAGAAAGTAACATCTGAAACAACAAAAACCTCTTTAACAAAATAAGGCAACACCAGTATAAATGCTCTTCAAGTGTCCTTCCTCACTGATGGGATAGCCCACTGTGACGTCATCAAACTGGGACATAAATTCAGCCTCGTCCAACCAGAATTCACCCTCTGCCACCCTGGCTTGTAGCTCCGAAGCACAATCAGGGGCAACAGAATCCCAACCTGCACCTCTGCAGAGAGAGAGGCAAAGAAACATCTGGATTTTCCCACATTTACAAATTTGTTGATGTAGGTGTGAATTCCAGAAATGCACTCCAAATTCCTTATAATAACTGTGACTTTAGTGAGATAAAATCACAACTTCAGACAGACATCAGTTACACCTAATGGCTGCGACTAAAGTCTGAAATCTTAAAGCCAGTGCTGTCAAATCTAATGAATCACTTTATAAATTGAGTAACCTTTGAGTAGAGCCCGGCCAATTTATTTATTGACAGGTTGATATGAGCTAGTTGCCAATCTATCAACCAAAACTAAAAGATATAGAAGATGCGCTGCTGTGTTGATGTTGCACAGTTTGTCCACAAGATGGCACTCTGCAACTTCCCTGTTGGGAACACTCCAAACACAATAAAGCAGCTGATCCAAGCAGAGTCGGACATAAATGAGTAAAGAAATAACTAAACACGAAAAAAACAACAACATTGGTTTATATATTGGAATATCTGACTTTTAAATCACCAAATATCAGCAGAACTCTACCTTTAAGAGCTGTCACCAGAACCTAACTATGTGAATATGCTCCTGTGTGGCTGTGGATCTGTAGAGTGATGGCATCAACTAGTAGCTAACAGATCAGCTGTCTTGTTTTGCTTTCTTTTTTGTGAATGATTTAACTTTAAAAATTTAAATCAATGTCCAAATACACAGTTTTTGGAACAATCTGACAATAATGAATTACAGTAGTCCAGCCTAGAAGTACTGAATGTGTGAACTAGACATATCACACAAATTCAAGATAGTGCTCCTTCATTTGTTTAATATGGACACTACAGGACATTTCCTGATCAAAAATGACCATGAGATTCATCACAGTGTTACTGGAGGCCAAGGTACTGCTATTGAGAATATTAGGTAAATAAAAGGTAAATGTACTGGTTCTTGTATAGTACTTTTCTGAGCACTCAAAAAGCTTTAATCTTAAGAACATTTGTAATCTGTAATTTGAAGCATCTGGTTTAACAACTTTCAACTCCACACATCTGGGTGTCAGATATACTCCACAATAGACAAGTCTGACACACACCTCCATACCCAGGCTCCTCCCCAGTAGCGTCTTCCCCAAGGATTTCTGATCCTTAGCAGCCGTACTTCACCCCCTGACACCTTCTTCACATCCAGCCACTCCATGACAGTCAGAGCGTGGTACTGATCCAGCTCAGTGAGTCCTGAAATAGAGAAGGCCAGCAAGTGATGTGGCACAGCATCACTCACTGTATTATCTGTGAGCAGACACTTTTCTGACCTCCGGGCGTGCTGTGAGTGGAGCAGCTGAGCGCACAGTCATCCGTCACAGGGTCCAGAAGGTTCAGGTCCAGCCTTCTCTTTCTGACTTGGTCACTGTCCTGTGCTGTTTGCTGCTCCTCCTCCGAGCCAAAGTCACCCAGGCTCCATCGCTCAGCTAGACCACCTGTCAAGTCCACCAGGGCCTCGGACACCTGACCTGCCCACAGTCGCTCGTATGAACCACGAAGCCTGCAGAAGATGAAAGGGAAAGGAAAGGGGGGTTTCAAACTTTTCCTCATGATTAGGTCTTGTTTGAAAAATACATGTTAATCTCAAGGAATCAACTGACTTGGCATAGGCCTTCTCCAACAGGGCAACCCAAAAGGCAGTGGGGGAGTGGCAGCGTGAGAAGCAAAGAGATGAATTAATGCAGGGCAGGCGGTCGTCAATGGTCACCTCTGTCCAGTGTCCCTGCTGCCAAAAGCAAAAATGAAAGCAGCCTCTGTACCTGCTGTCACCCCACTGTGGCTGATCTTCAGGCAGAACCTACACAGGATCCAACGACAATGCGAGTGACAACAGGAAACACACGATGAACATTCTCCACATTTAGAACAAAACCAGTGCTGGGGCTCACAAAATCAAACTGATGAGACAACCAGCCTGTGTTACCTTGTTTAAAAGCTGTTTGTTCTTGAGCAGGAAGGTGCACGCACAGAGGAACCAGCAGTCTCCTAACAGGCCTTGCTTTGCATGCCCCAGGCTGATGCTGCTTGGGAAGAGAGCTGGTGACGGGCAGATCTCCTTGACATGTGAAATGGAAATAATAATTGGGACTGAGACAGTGATATGGCTGGAAACAGCAGAGCAGGTTAATTTAATTGCACATATTTATTTTTGTGAGATACAGAGCAGTAACTTTGAGAGTCCTTCATAATCAGGTCAACCACCAGAAAAAGGAAATCCCCTCATCTTGTGAGGCGGCACAAGCTAATAGGCCACAAATGTCAAGCCCTATGTGGCAGGATCTTATCAATAACAACACCCGATCAATGGAAAGATAACCAATAAGGAATTTTCTGGGCATTTCCACTAGACAGGCTTACTTGGGGCCGTAGCCAGGTGATGTCTCCCTGCAGTCTGGCCAGAGGCGTGGAGCTGCCAGAGAACAGGGAGGCGTCCACACAGCGGAAGTCCGGGTCCTCATACAGAGCTGGACCTCCGCACTCGTCCCTGCCCTCTTCTTTCATGGCTCCTGCTGCTTTCAGCCTGGAAACCTGCTGGACCAAAGGCCACCTTCACTGCATGTACCTACATATAACACTTGCATTACACCTTAACTACATTATGCATTCGTGAAGTCTGCACGGATCTGAGCGGAAGCTGCCGTTACAGAGCATCACTGACTTTTACGGCATATTCACCTTCACGTTTTAGCTTTCACTCACTCAATACCAATGACATACTAACATGAATATACAAAGAGATGTTGGAAACATAATGTCAGAAACAGCATGTGTGTATTTATCTTACCTTGCTCCTCTTTTAAGCTCATTTCGCCACGTAGCTGTCATTGTGTATAATAGCATCGTTAGCTCGAGCTAGCTTGCACAGCACAGACACACACAGCAGGTACGCTAGCATCTCCATATCGCTTCATCTTATCGTGGTTTCAAATCCATAACCACAGCGGTTTTCTCTCAGTGTGACATATTTAGCGATGAGTAAAAGTTATATCGACAGCAGACATAGCGTGATGGTGAAAATAAAACAGACACGGGGTCTTCCGGTGATGCAGTGAATCCTTCCTGTGCTGCGGCCACTGCCGCCCACTGCTGGGATCTCTGAACTGCAGGAACACCGTGTTTCAGATTCCATGGATACATCCAGCTTAAAGCGGGGGAAAAACTCTAAAAGTGTAGAATGTTTTTGTTGAGATTTACTAAAATACATTATGAATTAGGTAAAGGTTTTACCAAGTGATTACAGAAAAAATTATATAATTATTTTTTGCTGTCATTGAGGGAAATAATGTAGATAATAGTTTATTCTCTGCAAAGCGGCCAGAATTGTGGCTCCCAGTGACTGGCTGTGTGCTATGTGACATTCAGTCAGTCTCAAACCTCCTTTCCTCAGCCACAACACTGAAGATGGGTCATTCCAGCATGACAGCAACCCAAACATACCACCAAGAAAACAAAGGAAAAAAGCACATGGAGGTCATGGACTGGGATGGCAACTCTCCAGATCTCAGTCCTGCAGAAAATCTGTGCAGGGTGCTGAAGTTTTGTGAGACAACCAAGAAATCTAAAGGGTTTATGTAAGGAGGAGTGAGCCAAAATCCCTCCTGAGATGTGTGCAAACCTGGTGACTGACTACGAGAGAAACGTCTTGCCAACAAGGGTTTCTCCACCAAATACTAAATCGTGTTTTGCTTAGGGATCAAATACTTCTTTGACTCAGCAGCGTACAAATATTTTTATAACTTTTATTTGTTTGGTTGTTTTTCGATTTTTGGTTGATATTCTGTCGCACTCTGTTAAACTGAAACTACCATTAAAATTACACTGTTCGTTTTCTGTAAGTGCTCAAACTTATAAAATCAGCAGGAGCTCAAATAATTATTTCCCTCACTGTAAATGTAGAAGTAGTAAATGCAGAATACCACCTTCTCTGTGTAAATTGATGATTTTGTAGAAATCTGTAGGTTATGAATTTGCCTTTTTTTTAATCTGATGGGGATCTGCAGTGTGTGGACTGTGTGGGTGCTGTAATAAATTTCTTCATTTCTTTTTTTAGTTTGAGTGCCTGGCTGTGGGCATGCAGGACGTGCCACACTCCTAGGAAGGAGAAAGACACCTACTTGTGGTTGTCTGTCTGTCTCACGTCACTCATTAGTCATTTTACATTTTTGTTTTACCTTCATACACAGTTCATGAGGACATCTGGCATCATTTTTGTCTATACTAGTCATCCTGCACCCCTTTGTGACCAAACCTTTGGCTTTCTTTAACATTTGTTTGAAATGCGGTCCTTTTGTACTTTACACTTTGGTTGTATTATGCATCTTTATTGTGTCTCTTGTAATTAGTTTTTGCTGTATTTATATCTATTGTTGCTTTTAGTATCGTCCTACTTCCACATTTTTATTCTTTTAAGTCTCTGTCTTACTTCTATCTCATAAATTGAAATTCTTGTTTATGTTTACTCCATTACTGTACTCAAGTGCTTTTTAAAAAAGTTAGTTTCTCACTTTTAACCTTTTACTGTTTTCTGATACTCCCTTCTGTTTGTAAAATGGATTTCTTTTCTTTTCTGTAAACACGTACTCATGCTGTGTCAGTCAGCTTTACTGCTAAATAGTGATGCAGAATAGTGATGTTTTTTCATGAGGTCAATAAAAAGCAACGGATGCAATTATTGATATATTTTTTAAAAAATATACTGTATTTATTAGCTTTGAATCATGTTATACAAATGAAGTATAAACAATATAAAAAACAACATAAAATATAAAATACAATACTATTTAACTTTTACAGAACTAGTCTGTAAACTGATGCACTCAAGTGAGCTCCGTGAATGTTGTCCTCAGTGTTTTCTGTTTAAAAAGAAAAAAAAAGAGGAAAGGATTAGAAATCAGAAACACAAGAATAATCTTGAAACAGGTTTTTTTTTTCTTCTTCTTGTGTTTGATAGCTACTGATAGGGTAAGGAATTGATCTTACCGTGGCAGTAACTGAATAGCAATTTTCACCCACTCGTCTTCAGGATTGGCACAGATATGTCTGTTTTTCACAGTCTTGAAACTGATGTTTAAAAAAAGTTCAGACATTAGTATCACAGCAGAGCTGGCAGTCAGTGTGGATTATGTGTTTTAGATGCAGTTACGATATTTTCCCCACTTACATTATTGCCTTGAGTTTGCAGTTGTCATCTTGGACTGTGTAGCTTTTCAGCCTTTTTACTGAGACAGGGTTTTGCTGGTACCGTGTGCAGCAATATTTATTGGAACCTTTGAAGGAAAGAATGAGACATTTCAGTGAAAACAGCATTTTACATGACAATATGACAAAAAACATTATAATAACGTCTCAGTGAATAATCGCTGAAGCCATACTCACTGCTTTCATCCAGTGCCACCAGCAGCAACACCAGCAGTACGGAGACACGCACGGCGAACTTTGCCATCCTCAGTAAATCAGCAGTGAATCAGTTTTCTGATCAGGATTCCCAGGGAGTCAGTGATGAAATGATTGTAACCGGCTGTGGCAGAGAAGTTTAAATACTGTGTGAGATGGAAATGTCCCACGAGAGGTCAGGGAGGTGGAAAACCCTGTCTGAGTCAAACGGGAAATGTGACTCGTCTTTTTTTCAACCACCGAAACCCCCTCCTCTGTGTACATTATGCAAAAATAATATGAACATGTAACATCTTTTAAAAGTTGCTATGTAATAATAATTAGCATATGTTTGCATAGCTGGACTGGTGATTTTTCATTTTTATGGGCCAATGGTTTGTTTTGTTTTGTTTTTCGTTTTTTTCCCGTAACGGTATAAACAATGAAAGGTGGTGGATTGGCCAGATGCTGGGAGATGTGTAAAAATAACTCAGTTGTTTGGTGGTGGCTATTGCGGAGCTTCCACAGATTCAGTAACATTAGCAAGTGGTGGAGGTCAGCAGGTGCAACACACTGGCAGGTGGATGAGGGAAAGGCAGGAGGAGCAGAGACCCGAGGCGGTGAACTGATCTTCAGGTAAGAAGTTATGACCTGCAGTCTATCTGGCTCAGATATAAACCAAGTTTAGGTGGAGTTTATTTTCGTTATGCTGACTTTTTACAGTCAGTTACAATAAGTAGTACTGCCTACTAGCTAGCATGGCTGAGTTTATATACAGCTGTGCGGGTGCTGTGATGTTAATTATGTTGAACTTGTTTTATCTTATTTTATTTATAAAGGTTAGTTATTAGAGTTATCAAACGTCCCGTAAAAAACGGAATCCTCTCGTATTCAGAGAAAATATTATGCGTTTGGTGTTGAGCTGAAAAGGAGCACAATTTGTCCCGGACTTCAGCTACAATGAAAAAGACACAAAGCTGAATTTATTCTGTGTCTTTGCTGCACAGCTGCATCTTCTTCTCTCATTCTCCCCCCTCTCTCTCCTGTTTCTACTTCAATCATGAAACTGATCAATGATCAGCTGATCGGCTTTTCCCTCTTGTTTGTTTATCGCCCACTTTGCACCAGAAAGAGGAAACCGGCAGACGCTAAACAACAGCAGCACGTTTAAGCTTGATCAGCTGTTGTTAGAATTTATTTAATATTAATTTCTAGTATCAGCTGATGTTTGCTGGAGCCACACCTGTAAAAGCTGGTCATGATATCGGTTTGGTTATCTGGTGAGAGGGAAACATGAAGGTGAAACCAGGAGATGTCCTTACTGGATCATCAGAGCTGAACAGGTGATGGAGAAACAGGTTTACCTTTTAGGTGACATGAATGAGTTGAAGGGAAGTTATGAACTGTTTCTGAGAGACAAATAACACCAGGATCCTTTTCTAAGATAAGATAAGACTTTATTGATCCCACAACGGGGAAATTTTTGAGTCACCTCAGCTCAGGTACAGATATCAGAAGGAAATACAAAAATACAAATAAGTACAATCGATGAAAAAAAGTGAGATAATACACTATATACAATGGTAGCACACACAGTATGTGATTATGGATATGGTTGGAAATATGGAAGACATAAACTATATAGCTTGATGTAGCTATTGTACCACTACTATCCCTATTTGTAGACATGTACACACACATATGTACACACTAAATATACATATGTATACATATACATACATATATACCTGCACATGTCCATACACATGGAAGGTCCATTATGCATGAAGTGGTGACCGTGGATGTTCACAGTGTCCTGTGACTTATGACATCGTGATTGAGGAGTTATAGAGTCTAACTGCTGTTGGGATGAATGATCTGCGAAAGCGCTCCTCCTCACATACTCATGCAGTGGGTGATGTGGGTTGTTCATGATGGATGTCAGCTTTACTAACATCTTCCCCTCACCAACCACCTCCACAGACTCCAGGGGACATCCCAGCACGGAGCTAGACCTCCGCACCAGTTTGTCAATCCTGTTCCTGTCCCTGTCCGTGCATCCACTCCCCCAGCAGGCCACTGCATAGAAAAGGGCAGATGCTACCATAGTGTCATAGAATGTCCCTAACAGAGTCCTGCAGACTCCGAAGGACCTCAGTCTCCTCAGCAGGTGGAGTCGACTCTGGCCCTTCTTATACAGGACGTCTGTATTTGTAGTCCAGTCCAGTTTATTGTTGAGGTGAACACCCAGGTACTTATAAGAGTCCACTATCTCAATGTCTTTCCCTTGGATGTTCACCGGTGTTGTAGGGGGTGACTTCCTCCTGAAGTCTATGATCATCTCCTTTGTCATGCTGGCGTTGATTTGGAGTACATTGGTCTCACACCAGCCAACAAAGTCACTGATGACCCCCCTGTATTCCTGATCATTCCCGTCTGATACGCATCCAATGATGGCTGTATCATCTTTTTATGTAGCTGACAACTGGTAACTGTACAGGGGTGGATCTAGCAAAGTTTTGCCTGGGGCCCAGGTAGGGCACTAACAGGGAGAGGTGTGCACAAGGAAATACTTTTCTTTCTTTTTCTCATTTAAAATGTCTCGCTTTTACCAAATAATTATCTGAATCTTACAACAAACGTTTTCATCTGATGTAAAATGTATAGAATTCCATTATTGTACATAGCATTTTTTTTAGGGTCCCATCGTAATTTCTTCAGAAGTAGCTAAGTACTGTATATGATGCCAGTATTTTCCCACATTTTCTAGATACTGTACCAGTACTGTGTGTAAAATGCCATCAAAAAGTCAATTAAGTTTTATTCTTTCTCACCTGTCTTTTTATCTCCTTTCACTTTTTAAAGGTTGCCATGTTAGAAAAAATATTTTGCCCTGCCATGCTGTTTATTGATGTGGCAAATGAATGGTTTATGAAAATATATCTAAATCTGTCATCAGTAATCAGTAATGATCATGTCTCACCTCTAGTCTTCTCTGTCTTAATTTCAGGTTTTCACCATGTGTTGTAGACAGTTCAGGAGGTTAACACCAAGCAGTCTACTTTCGGGTACTGTTTAGAATACCAGAATAGGGAGGATGGTGTAGGTTTAAGTTTATTAGACTGATGCATATATACCAACAAGACACTGTACATCACTGTGACAACAGCGTTTGTTTTCATTCAAAGGCTTTATGGTTTTTCCTATAATACCTGGTGGGCCGGTCTCTAGTCAAAATGCCCGGGTCGATTTTTTGTCCCAGTCCAGCCCTGTATGTTTGTTATTCAACTTGTGTTAAAACATTTAATCACGTAGCCAGAACTGTATGTTGTACTCCACTACTGCATGGTACAAAAGTCCCCTCCTCCAGCACCATTTTCTTGGAGTTTGGCGAGGTCACTGAGGCAGTTAGACATCTCTTTGGTAGCAGGACCCTTGGGGTGGACATGGTTTGCCTTGAGTTCCTGAAGGCTCTGGATACTGTAGGGCCGTTAGTTGATACACCTCTGCAACATCGCATAGAGATCTGGGGCGGTGCCTCTGGATTGGCAGACTGGATTGGTTCTCATCTTTAAGAAGGGGGACTAGAAGGTATGCTCAAAATACAGAGGGGTCACACTCCACGGTTTCCCTGGGAAGGTCTATGCCAGGGTACTGAAAAAGAAAGTGACTCTGTGGTTGAACTTCAGATACAGGAGGAACAATGCAGGTTTCGTCCTGGTCGTGCAACAGTGGACCAACTCTTTATCCTACCAAAGATATTTGAAGGTGCGTGGGAGTTTTGCCCAACCAGACTACATGTGGTTCGGTTTGTGTGTGCTTCGGTGGTATGTGGTGTGTGGCCCTTTGCTACAAACCATTCACTCCCTATGCAACTGTTGAAGAGGCCGAAGATCATTCCTGATCTCAATTTTTTTTTTTTTTGCAGAGGATGTGATTCGGTTGGCTTTGTAATGTAACAATGCAATACAACCCCCCCAAAAAAAAAATAATAATAATGCTGCAAATTTTAGAAGAAGTTCTGTCATAATATTTCTAAAGTAATTTTGCTAGTCTACTGTACAATATCCAGCTAGGTCATCACTGTAAATAAGTTAAATCTAATCGACAAGATGGAGCATGATGTACTAAACATCCTGTTGATGTTACTGCTAGACGGATAACATCAGAAGCCCATGTGCACAAGACATGGGCTTCTATCTGTAAGTATAACCGCAAGCTGTTTTCATCTTAGCTGTTGACCTTCACTGAAAGTTCTCAGTGCTTGTTTTCTAATTTCAAAGTCTTTACTGTTGATGTATTGCCATGTCTTACTCGAATATGGTTAGAAAGCAAACAATGTCATTAGTTACACTTGATCATCTCCTGCTGTGACAGACATCGCACTGTTCTCTTTTGTAGTACCGGTTTGGATCCACTTTTGCATTCAGAAGTGCGTTAATTTGTCATGGAATGGATTCAACAAGATACAGTGCTAGCTGTACAGTTTAATAATAAAGCAAAGTCCCATTCTGTATAATTCTGTATGGCTGTCACATTTCTGTATTTTCTGTTTAATTAAACAGTTTATCTTATCTCATCTCATCTTATGTAATGTTATGTTATGTTATCTCTTCTCATCTCAGTCTCATCTCTTCTTATCTTATGTTGTCTCATTTCAGCTCATCTTATCTTATTCGAGGGACTCTTTCATCTGGGGAACAGGAGGGACATTTACACTGACAGCAAACTCTCTCACCGAATTTTGTTGAATTAAGATGGTCTTGAAAAATCAAAAATATATTTACTTTTCTGTATTTTCTGTTTAAATGAGTTTGTTTTATTGATTTTTATTTCAGTTTCCCCATCCATTTTCTATTGTGATATCACATTTATTTTATTGAATTTTAATAATATTATTTTTAATGTTTTGGCTTCTGTAAGTAACGCAGTAATCTCCTCTTTTGGGGGTGATGAATATATCTTATCTAACGATATCATTATTGAGAATATTATAAGTAAAGTAAAAGCATTAGAAAGATAGATATATAGTTTTCAATGATGTTTGACTATGAGATTGCGAACTGCAGGAACTCGGTGATGTGGTTTTGTTGGAAACTTCATGATAAG